GCGGCATCCCGACGACTGCGGTTGTCCGGGTCCTAGGTGTTCTTTTCGATTGTTCCGGCGTGTCGCCCGACACTTGGGCCGGCATCGTTGCGGACGTGACGCACCGAGCGGGGTTGGCGGCTCGTTTCTCACTCCCCTTGCGGGACCGTGCGTACATAGTGAAGTCAGTCCTCTGTGCGAAACTGTGGTCTGTGGCGCGCGTTGCCCGTCCGCCTCCGACCATTGTCCGCCGACTCAACTCCGTAATCTTTTCGTATTTCTGGGAACAGCGTACGGAGCTAGTTGTTCGGCAGGCTCTTCGCCTCCCTCGTACCTCCGGAGGTTGGGGACTACCGTGTTTGGCCACATTTAGTCGCATTCTCGCACTTCGAGGTGTGTTGGAGCTGTTGGAGGCTCCCGACTACACTGGACGCAGCCTTGTTCTTTACTGGCTCGGCACGCATCGGCGCATCTTGGTGCCTCGGGGACTTGGCAACCTCTGCCCCACCGCCGAGGTTCCGTCGCCGTTTTATGTTACGGCAGCACGCACTCACCAGCAGCTCACAACCGACGCACCGGATGCTGATGTCCTGGACACCCCTGCTTCACGTCTATGCGAGGCTCTCTGTGCGTTAGAAGTTCCCCTCCTCCATCAGGTGCGGAGCCGCACTTCTGACTGGGCGTGTGCCCTGTCCCCGGACCTTCCCGCGGCTGTAGCAGACTTTCACTGGAGGCTTGGCTGGGGTGTCCTGCCTACCCGGGATCGCCTCGCCCAGTGGGGCGTCTCGGCGTCTAACCTGTGCCCTAACTGCGGCACCCTTGAGACAAACGTACACGTTGTCTTCGACTGTGTTGTCGCTCGTACGTTTTAGACTTTGGTCAGCCGCATGTTTGCGCTCCCACTGGGCAGGCACTTCCGTGCGCGCCACCGCAGCTCCAGGCTTGTGTTTGCGACCGCATGTTTCATTTTGTGGCAAAACAGAAATACTGTTGTCGCCCAAGGGCGTCGTTTAGGACGGATGTTCCCGATGATCCGCCGGCTGCGTAGCCTCTTGCTATGCCACCTTGAGGATGCCCTTTTTGTCCTCGGGGAGGAGGACTTCCTCCGACGGTGGCATGCAGACTTCATTGCCATCCGCTCCCATCGCCCGGTCCTTGGGGGCGCTTGCCGCTCTAATTACGTTATGATTTCAGCGCTCCCGCCGTGGAGCCGGCCTTCAAGCTGGTTTTGATGGCGGTGTTTCCAGCTACATCATTTGTGAGGAGCGCGGGATCTGCTGCTGCTTTAAAGGGGTTGCGGTGGCGTCGGGGCGCCGGGCCTTGGTCGGCTCTTGTTGGGGGGTGGTGGGTGGGCCTTGGGGCAGCCCGCCCTGGGGCTTGCCCGCTGGCCTTCGGTTGGGGCCGGGCGGGGGTCGGCGTCCTGGTGGTGCTGGGGCCCCTGCGGTCGGGCTGGGCCCTAGTTTGGTATTAACTGTTTTCTGTAATTTGTCCTTGTCTCTGCCATTTGTATATATTTGCGCCTTGTACTTTGTGCTTCTCGTCAATAAATCACTCTTTCCACAGTATCTGTTCTTATCAGCTTAATATCTGATATGGACCTAATTGGTCCAAGATATTACACTCATTTTTGTAAATGGTGTTCCTCCGAAGCTTGCTTCGAGGTCGCCAGGGTTGGCCCGGTATTGCACTACCCCCGGGAGCGGCCCGTCCCCCTCTGGGGGAAAATAATGAATTCCAAAGTCAGATCGTAAATAATCATCTCGGCCTTTCGGCTAAGATGATCGCTTCTCGGCCTTTTGGCTAAGATCGGGTGTAGCATCGCTTCTCGGCCTTCTGGCTAAGATCAAGTGTAGTATCGCTTCTCGGCCTTCTGGCTAAGATCGGGTGTAGTATCGCTTCTCGGCCTTCTGGCTAAAATCAAGTGTAGTATCGCTTCTCGGCCTTCTGGCTAAGATCAAGTGTATACTCCGTTTAACCTTACGTAGGACCGCAGCGGAAGGCTGGGGGCTGTGACGCGACCCAGACAAGTTGTTCCTACGCATCGCGAAGTAGTGCGTCAAAGACTTTGGGCAGTACGAAGCGTGGATATAGACCATTCCATTTAGCGCTCTCTGGGCGGCACCATTTTGCTCGACCGCAGCGCCCTCCAGTGTTGCCAGATGGTCCCATAAAAAACCGCCAAACGACTGAGAGGTAGAGCCCAAATATAGCCAAAGCCGTAATAAAAATCTGCCCAAAATAGCCAAGACTAAGAACAATGATTTTTAAGCCTTATATTCACAACTTCTCACACATACAATACACGTTAGAAACTCTGTTTCAACCCTCAGATGCACCACCTTTTGTGTACATTATGTTACTTGTAAATGTTTTAAAAAAAAGCTTCGCATGGGTGAAAATTTATAAAAACTAGCCCTTCCTTCGGTTTTCAGAAGTACCAAACACCAAAGACAGCTTTATTGTGAAGCCCGGGAGATATGACAAACGGTAAAAGAACAAAATACAGAAGCAGAACAGTCAGAACACTGGGTGTTTCAAACCAGAACAGCAATATCTCAGGTCCTTACCAATATCCCACCCGTCTCTTTTTCATTGTGATGAATATTAGTGTCACCCGTTCATGTTCAAGCTATTTCTGATTGTGTTGTCCTTTCTTGGGGTGGGCAATGACTGGAAGGTAGTCATGTGTTTAGCGGTGAAACTGCGGACTTCTCATTTTTACAAACTTGGGTGCCTAAGGATTCTCACAATGGGCCCCAAAGCAGCATTTGGAGAGTTCAGTCTACGTCCGGGCAGAGCCATATGCGTCCGGGTTGAAGGCGCGATATCGGGCTTGTGGTAATAGTGGAATCTGTTTGGTTTGCTCCACTGCGCTCTAGGGAGACCGCTTGAACTCTGCAAGCATTGCCTCACTGCGTATTGTGAAAACCCCGAAGTTTGTAGAAGTTTGAAGTCTTTCTCCTTCCTTTCTCTCCTCTAGCCAAAAAAGAAAAAATTTTTTTTTTCGAAACTGTGAAAAGTTTGCAAATTAGCAAGCCGAACCTCAAATTTCGGCGTCGAACTTTAGGTTCGATAAAAGTTCGCCGCATTCTTAGAAATAGCCCAAAATAGCCACATAGCCAACCACGAAATTGTGACGCCAACTAGAAAAAAATGTAGCCCAATTTGGCTATATATAGCCCAATCTGGCAACACTGGCGCCCTCTCCACACATCCGGGAAGTTCAGCAGGTTCGGCGGGGTAAAACGAGAGAGAGGGCACGCGCCCGACTCCGCTAGCAGACGACAAACCGGGGGGTTGCCGTTCTCCATCTTTGGGCTGTATCGGCGGGCTCTACCGAACATCGAACTCTCGCTCGTAGCTGCCGTTGTGAAGTGGTTCGCGTTCTTATAGAATAGTTGTGGCTACTCCAAAATTATCCTAAAGCTCTCTGTTGTTCTATTTTGCTAAATGATCAACTGGCATATATTTTTTCCATTATTTAAATAGCAGTTGAGTCAGCCGGCAGTACTACCCTCAACTACTGCTTGTATTGCGGCAGGAGAGCAGGTTTAATTATTATTTCAGACTTCCACTCATGGTCGCTAAAGGCCCACACCAGTACGAACTTTTGTATAGTAAAAAAGGTACAGCAACCGGATTTACTCTTCGCCAAAGAGACCGGCCAATCTGACATAGTTTTCCCTGTTTTTTTTTTTTTTTATTTGCACGCAGGTAACAGCGCAATTGGACCCTGTAAGTCTTTTTATCTAGCATAATATTACACGACAACTGGCATACCAAAATCTGCGCATCTGCGCTTGAAAGTTCCAAAATGACGCGATTTTAAACAGTTTGCACGCCAGCCGGACGCTAGCTACAGCCCACTCGGCGGAGCGGACGAGATGCGAGGTGAGAGGGGGAGTGCATTTTTTTCTCTTTTACCCTCTCTGCTATGACCCTAATGGAACGGTCTATACTTTAGCCTTAGTTTAATATTTTTTTGTCGTGCACCATCAACACAAAAACAACTTTTGTATCCAAGAAGAGCTTTCAAACGTGATATTTAATACACAATTAGGTAGCATGTCCGGAGAAATTAAAATTTTAGTTGGCAACGCTGCCGTTGTGTTTGTTTCTTCATGCGCTTGGTTCAAGTTTGCTTTCCCTTTCGTGACGTGATCTTAAAGAAGTGTTTCTTCCAAAGTGAAGTTTTTTTACTTAACAGTTATTGTACTCTCTGTAAAACTCTGATAAATGTTTATTGGAAGCACTCATTTCAACTTTACAAATACTTTTTGCCCAAGTTTAGGATGTCACGTGACAAATTGTCGTTGTTTGCGTAATGGCTGCGGCATCGTCAAGCACACTGTCAAGCATGTCTCCGTCAAAGGCGCCGGTACTTCCATCACCAGCTCGCTTCCAGATGACATTTTCTAAAACCTCGTTTGGAAAAGAGGCGCGCCAAGTTGAGCTGAACGTTTACTACAGTAATAGGGGCCAACATCGCTAGGTGCGAATTCGCACAGTTCGAAGCTCAAGGGGCCTTCGCACGTTGGTGCCGTCCGTCTCGAAAACGTTCATGGATTCAGGAGGCTGTGTTCACCGGGATCACGACGGACAAGCTGGTAGGCCATCGTAGTGAATGGAACAGAAAACATCCATTGACAACATGTCTGGTTGCGCCGTGAAGCGGAGATTTATTCGTCGATCCCGCATGGTTTTTGCGGAATTGGAGAAAAGAAACATAATAGCTTCATACCGCCGTGCGTAATTCGTCACTCGCTCTCCGAGAGCTATAGTGTTGATGAACGTTCCCCCTACGTCGTGGCAGTCACATTAGGAGTTCTGGTTAAACGCACGCACGGTTTTGCAGCAAAAACTACAAATTAAAACACTCACTTTGCTTGCTCTTTCACTTTTATTTACCGATTTATAAAACCCTGGCTTGTGCGTTCTGCATGCGAGCAGGAGTATGCGGCGAACTTCCAAGTAAGCAAGAGCAAGTCAAGGTTCGATTGTTACCGCTTACCTGAATTGTTGAGTGACTTAAAACGTGTAGACGGGTTTCTGTGTGCCACAAGTAAAGCGAAAGGCTTCTGCGGACCCTGCTTCTGCTCGACGGGTAAAGCTATCTGCGTAAGCCTATCCCACACGGGCGACGAAACCGTCGCGCGTCGATCTCACAACTCCAGAATGCTCCAGCGTTCCGTAATAAGCGAAGAACATTACACAAAGTCAGGTATGCTAATCGAAAACAGCAGATGCGATCGGTTCATACCCAGTGAGCCCGCCTAAACCTTCCTGCCGGCGCCATTGCAACCCGCGCACTGATACCGCTCATACGCGCTTGAGGGAGCAAGCTGACGTCACTTCTAAACATGCGCTTGATTGGCTCTGGCGGTCCGTAGCTTTGGCTCGGGGTCCAACGTAAGGTGAAACGGAGTATAGTATCGCTTCTCGGCCTTCTGGCTAAGATCAAGTGTAGTATCGCTTCTCGGCCTTTTGGCTAAGATCAAAGTGCCCCTGGGACCTGCCCCTGAGACCTGCCGCCGGGACCTATCTGGTCAACCAGGAGCTGGATGGGGGACCTGCCCCACCATGGCAGACCCCACAGCCTGCAGTCCAACGGTGCCGCCCGACCGGACATTGGGAACGAGGAGACGCAGCAGTGGCATCCCGGTGCCATCGCCTCCGACGCCAAGGGCATCGAACCCCCCAGCCCCACCCCAATCGGCGCTCAGTGAAGGTCAGCAGCCGCGCCGGGATGTAGATACGCTTTTCGTCTCCTTCCCGGCTCCACACGTCTTCAAGTGCCCAGAGGAAGGCTGCTCAGCTGCTTACACTGCGGCTGCCTGGACTGCCAAACGACAATCACTGCAGCGGCACCTCGAGGGAGACCCCGGCATGCGCATTCGCCGCACGGTCAACCTCTGCACCTTGTGTGGGGCCACGCTGGGGACAAGGCCGACATCGCACCCATGCCTGGCGAATGGCAGAGCTGCTGCTGCACCCACTCAGCAGCGGCACCAATGCACCAGATGTCCGCACTCCTTCCCCTCCAGAAAAGGCCTACACAACCACTTGCAGTGGCACACCAAGGAGGAGGCGAAGCAAATGCGAGCAGCCAGCTCCCAGGCAAGCACCCTCCCCATGGAAGAGGCGCAGCGACCGCCTGCAACACTAGCCGCCTGCAACACCCCGATGCTGGGCACCCACATGAGCCTGGCACATACAAGAGCACCAATCCCCGGACCTGCATGTTCAAGCATGCCGGACCCTGTGGCGTCGACTCCGGAGTCAAACAGGCAGCCCACACCCATGGCGCTGCTGGACACTGGCCCTGAGCAGCGACTGGAGGCCAAAGCTCCGCCTGCTGAATCGACAAGCATCACCACCATGTCCCAGGACACATCACAAGACCCGGACCCCCCTGACACATCACTGGGCCCCACTGCCCACGAACCTGCCGTAGAGAGCAGTGGCCCCAAGGCAGCCGAGGTTGCTCAGGAAAAGGTACTTCTCGAAATCAGGGACCGAGACCACACAAGCACACCAGGGAGCCCAACTGCCAACGTCCAAACACAGGCTGGTGATGCAACCATAGAGGCCAACGTCGCCCACGAGGACGTCCCCACCAGCACCGGGGTCCGAGACCCGACAAGCACACCTGAGAGTTCGACCCCCACCGACCAAACTGAAGCCGGCAGCATGACCGAGATCGGTGACATCACGCACGACGAGGACCCTACCGGCACCTCGACAGAGTGGGAACCGATCGACGATTCCTGCATACTCCAGGAACACACAAGGCAATTGAGAAGGCTAGCTACTCGGGGAACCTGTGTCTCCTGCAGGGTGGAGCAGCTTCACCACCACTCTTAAGGATGCAATTGAGGCAGTGACGACAGCCGTGAAGCTCCCCTCCGTAACATCTGGAGAAAGGCCTCGCCGTGAAGTCAGTCCCAACTGCCCACAGCAGATCCAGTCCCTGTACCGCCGCAATCGCCGTCGGGCAGTGAGACTCATCGTCGAGGGTCCCTCCACGCAGTGTCCAGTCCCACTGGACGAGCTCCAGGCCCACATTACCACCACATGGGCCCCTAGGGAGGTTGACACGGACCTCCTCATGGCCCGGGTGCCAGCAGCAGGCGAGATATCCATGGCTGCCGTCACCGACGACGGGGTGGCGACCCGCCTGCGGCGCTGCGAGAGTACGGCACCCGGGGGCGACCGCTTGACTTACCAACACTGGCGAACTGTCGATCCCGAGGCCTCCTTCCTTGCGGCGGCATTCAACATCTGCCTACGTCATCGCCGCGTGCCAGACACCTGGAGGGAGTCGAGGACGATTCTCATCTACAAGAAGGGAGATCGGCAATACCCCGCCAACTGACGCCCAATCTCCCTCGGATGCACAGTCGCAAAGCTCTACGCCGGATGCTTTGCGGCTCGTCTGCAGCAGTGGCTGTCTGAGCACCGCGTCCTGTCACGGTGCCAGAAAGAATTCGTGCCACACGACAGAGTGTTTGAACACAACTTCTTGCTGCAGGAGCGCTTGGATGCGGCCCGGACGGGCGGTGGAGACCTTTGTGTGGCCTTCCTTGACTACGCCAACGCCTTCGGGTCGGTCGCCCACAATGTCCTCGTCGACGCGGTCCGGGGAGCTGGGTGAGGGGAGGCATTCGCCTCCATAGTGGAGGACCTGTACAGCGGCAACACGACATCCATCGTCGGTGAGGCGGGCATCACGGAGCCCATCAACATCTCATCCGGGATCGGTCAGGGCTGCCCACTGAGTGGGCTGCTGTTAAACCTGGTTCTCGTTCCGGTCATCAGGGCGGTGCAGGGAGGTGAAGGGCAGCGGGGACCACCAGCGGGGATCTCTGCGCAGCATTCCTGTATTTCAGCAATGCGTTTGGCTGCGTCTCCCACAATGCCATCGTGGATGCGGTGCGCGGAGTGGGTGCAGGCGAGGCCTTCGCAGAGCTGGTCCAGGACATGTACTACGAGAGCAGCAGCAGCGTTGTGACCAACGACAACTGCACGGACCCCATCCCGATGCGCTGCGGCATACGACAGGGCTGTCTATTGAGTGGATTGCTTTTCAATTTGGTCTTGGACCCCGTCGTCCGGAAGGTGTAGGGCACAACTGCAGACCACTGCATACTCGCCTACGCGGACAACCTGACCCCCTTGGCTCGGGACCCGGCGAGCCTGCAGGCAAGCATCAACCTGATCGAGGAGGAAGCTGGGCGGCTGGGCCTATCCCTCAACGCTGCCAAGTGTCGCAGTCTGTACTTGAGCGGCTGCTCGCCTGTGGGACTCAGGGGCAGCCAATTCCTTGTGAATGGCACCCCTATCCCTGTCATCAGGGACTTTGAGGCCTTCGCCCACCTCGGCAGGCCAGTCGGGTTCAACATCCTGCAAGACGGATCGGACGTGGACGCAGCCATCCACCTGGGCACCAGATCCTAGGCTCCATGCTGGCCCCATGGCAAAGGCTCGACGCCATCAAGACGTTCCTCTACCCGGCGCTCCACCACCTGATGAGGACGGGGACCGTTGGCAAGACTGAGTGGGCCAGACTGGACGAGGCCCTCTGGCCACTGATCAAGCGGACTCTGTACCTACCACCTGGAGCATCAAATGACTACATCTACGACAGCAGCAGGGCCGGGGCCTGCGGGATCCCCTGCGCGGCAGAGACGAGCGACGTCTGCCGGGTGGACTCTGTGTTCAAGCTGCTGACCTCGCGGGAGCCGGAGGTTCCCCCGATGGCTCTGGACGATCTGATGGGCATTGTGAAGGCGAGGCTGCGGCGAGACTGCGACCTGCCCGACGCGGGGCTCTACCTGTCGGGCCACAACGAGGGAGATTTCCGGATGCACGCAACGCAGCTGCGAAGCGTCTGGATGGAAGGGAGGAAGGCGTCGGGGCGACTCAACGTAGCCTGGGAGCTGGGACCGGGGGGAGCAAGCATCACGGTCGGGAGCCAAGTAATCACCCCTCGAGGGCGATTGAAGGTGATGCATTCTCTCCTATTCCAGCTAGCCCAGCTGAAAGATGCCAGGCTCCATGCACTGCCCAACCAGGGGAAGGTAATGGAATGCGTCGCCGCCAACCCTGCAGGTTCCAACTTCATCCGGACGGGTTTGTACACCCGCTTTGCAGACTGGCGTTTTATTTCACAGGGCTCGTCTCAACCTGCTCCCCTTTAACGGCGCCCAACTGTAGAGGCGTGGCAGCGACCAACGGTGCAGGCGTTGTGGCTTCGCCAGCGAGACCCTGCCGCACGTCTTCAACCACTGCATGCGGCAGTCCCAGCGCCGCAACAATGTCGTCGAGCGTGTGAAGAAGGCAAGTGCTGGCCGCTTCACTCTCGTTTCAGAGAACGCAGCGGTGGGGGACACGCAGCTCCGACCTGACCTGGTGCTGGTGTGTGGCGAGGAGGCAGTGGTGGTGGACGCCTGCATACCCTTCGAAAACCGGAAGGAGGCCCTGGTCCAGGCGAGGAGGACCACAGAAGGGAAGTACCGCCTCGTGATCGACCAGCTGCGGCGGCGGTACCAACGGGTTACAGTAGAGGCGGTGGTGGTTGGGGCCCTGGGCAGCTGGGGCCCTGCCAACGATCGCTTCCTCAAAAAACTCTGTTCCAGGTCCTACCTCAAGAGGATGAAGCAGATGGCCGCCAGCGACACCATCCGGGCCTCCAGGGACATCCGCGCGGCCCACATCGCAGGACCCACGCGAAGACCGGAACCAGGAACGAAGCAGGAAGAAAGAAGATGCATGTTAATTAAGGCACTTTTCTTTAATTTTTTTTGCCTATAGTATTGTTTAGGTATAAGAAGACAAGTAGTATTGTATAATGTAGTGCATGACCCCATTTCCTTTTTTTTCTTATAGTGATTGTTTAATTTCTTGTGTATTTCGTCACTGTAAACATAGATAAGGCTGATGATGGTGTAACTCCTTTTCCCAGTCAACCACCGACATCCATTAGATATACCAGCTTGATCCAGACGTCTATATCCAGATGGAGTGTACAGAGGACGTCATATTGATTATACATATTCGACATTGAGCACAACGAACGTCCAAAAGACGTCACCTAGACGTACTGAAAGGACTTTCAAAGATAACACATAGGTACATTCTATGGACGTAGTATAGACGTGTGGCGAAATGCTGTAGTCTGTGCTCTTCTTTCAAGGCCTGATATGTGATATATCACCCGTATTAAAGACGCATAAATGGGTTCAAAATGTTTTTTTCTTCTCTAAATGTGTGTAAATAGTGACCTTATCCGAGTAAAACCCTTGTCGCTAAGTGTGGGCATCATGCAGCGAACGACACAAACAATATTTTGGTTGGTTTACATATACGTTGCTATGATTTATTGTCGGGGCGTCCGGCAGCGGACGTTGTCGGACAGAATAGATGCTGCAAAATATATTTTCAATTCGCCGCGTTACACACCGCGCGCCAGCGCTGCGACGACAAAGGTTACAACCCATAGTTATTTTTATGACAGTGAGCAGCTACTCCGCTGCTTTTGTCAGTGTTTGTTTTCACTATTTATTGCTGCCAATCGAAATTGTAATTTAAAAACGACATTAAAATAAGAAGAAATAATGTTACAGGCCAGTCATAAAATAAATTATTTGGGGGAAAAAAATCTAGAGCAATATTTGCTGCGCCAGACTCGTTATAGCGGCAATTTCGTCTGCTTGTGTTACTGGGATTACGTCACCACCATAGCACAAGTTCCTGCTGTGTAACTGCGCGGGGGCACGAGAGGCCCTACAGGCCTACACACACACACACACATATATATATATATATATGGGTGGTTTCATCTCAAATCGTGCAGGCAAAAAGGGTCGAATTTTTAATTTCGATGAAAAAAATATATGTTATGGCGCCGTTTCTAAAAACGCAGTCGCCACAAACCGCAAGTTCGTCGGATTTTTTGTTCTCGACTTATGAATGTTTAAAGAGGCCGCGGCGAAAAGCAGTGTTTTTCACACCCGTCGTGGGTCGGATGTTTCGCTTGATCTCCCGCCCTGGATTTTCAGTCCACATTATATTATCTTTTTTCAAGCACTCTGTGGACACATTTAAAAGGCTCCAATACCATAAAATAATTTTATTCGTTTTGCTTTTGTTTTGTAAAAATGTCAAAAACGCCCCCTCGGTCAATTGTTGACGAAGTTTGACAATTAATTACTGGCGATCTACTTGGGTTACATCGATAATTGTTATGTCTACGGAGAGCCCAAAACACGTTCTTTATATGTATTATAAAATAACTCGGCTGTATGAAATATTTTTTTGTTACGTTTACGTTAATATTATGTGAAAACCAAAAAGTACCATTTTTGAAATTGATTTTCTCAAAAAACCCATTTTTTATTTTTTTTCATTTTTTGTTAAAATGTAGATGTGATAGTTTTCTACGTGAAAATTAAGCCGAGAAAGTGTATATTTTGTTTGTATGTTCTATATTTAAGCATAAATATCGTACAAAAACGTGTTTTTACGGCTCGAAATAGACTTGCGAATTGCGCGTCTTCACAAGCTTGGAAATAGTTTTTTTCTTTTTTTCAACGTTCCCACATAAAAATGAAATACAGTATTTCCACCCTGTTATATTTATTGATTATTTAAATTTTATTATAGGCGGCAAGCTACATCGGAGGAGTTCCAAAAAGAGAAAGCAACACTTCTTAACAGACCAGCAGGTGTCGTTAATTTTTTACGTGTAGGAGTCGGTAGACGTCGTATTTATTCGGGGCCCTCATTGACCTGCATGAACGTCCCGCCCTTTCGGAGCCAGCAGATGACCACGACTATTCGCGCTCGTTGTGTTAGATAGGACGGCCCGTGACAGTAAAGCGAGCAGCGCACCCTGTGTCACGAGGAGTGAAATGGTACGATTGTGTCGTTGACACGGCGAACAGTGACAGCCACCCAGGAGCAGTCAGTCAGAGTATTGCACAAGGGAAAGCAAAGGAATCGTTGCCTGAAAGGATGAGGACACCACGGCCTTACAATATCGACGGTCAACAACTGTTCTGCCAGCCAAAACAACGCCGCGTGCGCGCTAAAACAGGCGGCGCGGGACAGAAATCCCGCAGACGCACACACGAAGATGGGCCGGTTTCGTTAGGGATGTGGGGAAATTTGAAACCAGCCATCCGTGCATGCGTGAAACGATACTGCCTGTTTGCCCTAGCTTCGAGCGCCCTATCCTTACCTTGAAACGGCCGTGCTCTCTCTCTCTCTCTCCGGGGAGGTCCGATAGCACCGAAGGGTTATCTATTAAACTTGACGAAGAAAACGAGAAGGGACTGTTTAAGTTTAATTATCCCCACCAACCCGCTCGTTCTGTCCTTATAAAGGGTTATCTCTTTTGGAAACAGCAAAGCCCGGAGATTGACATTAAAACGAGCGTGTTGGTAAATATACTTGTGTTTGTACTCTGCCCGGAGACTAGTTGGGTCGAAGTCAGCCTCCTTGTCAACTATAACCGTTTGTGAAGAGTGGGCTTCTGCCGAGATGAAAAGTTAGCGCCGTCTGACGTGTTCTTTTGAAAAAGGGAAGGGGAAAGAGAAAGTTTGAGTAACTGCAGAAACTACCTCGAAAGCTCCTCTCCCGATATAAATAATAATAATAATAATTTTTATTTGCACAGAATGCGATACCCACTCGGCAGCGTGCAAGGCTAAGCAGAAAGGTTGAAGCATAGTCTCGGTTACCTTCTCGCGCATCGCCTGCTCGAATCTATTCCTCACTTTCTTTCGCACAGCCACTGTTCCGCACAGCCGTCGTGGATGTGCGTAATAGAGGGAGGAACAGATTCGAGCATCATCTGGACGTCGTCATCCTGCCATACTTCAATGTCGTGGGGCCGGCTCGTGTGTGTTTCTTCGCCCCGCTGAACTTTGTTTCTCGGGTGCGGTTTTTTCTGAACGTTTTTTTTTTTTTCAATGTTTTCTTACTAACCGTTTGTTAGCACTGTTCAGTTGTTGGGTTTATTTCGTCATGGCGTAGCTGCCTGGCGGTGATGTAGAGAGCGTGTTCGCACGCATTTGGTTACGTCCCGTTTAGGGAATGCCCGGAGGAGTTGGTTTTTGTTCTTGCCATGTGCGGCTGAGTTTTCTCGTCTTTATTAAATTTTTGATTTTTTTGTTTGTTTTACCTTTACGTGCCGTCGACTTCTTTGTCTGACTCTCCACCAGGCGTGGACCTATCGCCTTGCCACCGCTCGAACCTAAATACTTTATTTTTTTTAACGCAATTTTCGTTAAGATCGGAGTTGGGCAATTTAATTCCGATTTATTTATTTTTATTTCCTACCCCTTTCCATGACACACTCTCTGTGTGTTTCGGACCGTTTCTGTGTCACCACTTTTGTGTATTACGGAAGTGAAAGGACATTCCCTGGTGACCTGTGCGATGTGCGGTGAACAAACCCCCAGTGTTTGGTTTCGGAAAGAATTGTAAATAATATATCGACGATATGGTGACTTTCTTTGTCTTAGTAATATGACAGCTAATAGCTAGTCGTGCTAGTTTACTGTGAAAGGTTTATAAATCGAAACAATACAACGTCTGTGCCTTTTGGTTATTGAAAGTCTACTAGGCCTGCTGATTTGGTTAGATATGTATCTCCTGGTTCCAGCTCTTATCAAAACATACATAAATATTCAATACCATAAAATCCGTTTACAATTGATTACAAAATGCAGAAGAAAATTCAAGAAAACTTTTTCACAATTCATAGAGACGCATGTGTCGCTATGTCTGACTTAGGTCTTGCAAAACAAAGACGTCTTTTTTCCGATATTGAGGCCTAAATATAAAACATACAAACAAAATATACACTTTCTAGGCTTGATTTTCGTGTAGACAACTATCATATCTACATTTGAACAAAAATAAAAAATATAAAAAATGGGTTTTTTGAGAAAATCAATTTCAAAAATGGTACTTTTTGGTTTGTGCATAATATTAACGTAAATGTAACGCAAAAGATATTTTATACAGCCGAGTCATTTTATAATACATATAAAGAGCGTGTTTAGGGCTCTCCGTGGACATAAAAAATATTGGTGTAACCCAAGTAGATCGCCAGTAATTAATTGTCAAAGTTCGTCAACAATTGACCGAGGAGGCGTTTTTGACATTTTTACAGAAAAAAAGCAAAACGCCTAAAATTATTTCATGGTATTGGAGCCTTTTAAATATGTCCACAGAGTGCTTTAAAAAATATAATATAATGTGGACTGAAAATTCAAGGCGGGAGATCAAGCGAAACATCCGACCCACGGCGAGTGTGAAAAACCCTGCTTTTCGCCGCGGCCTCTTTAAAAATTCATAAGTCGAGAACGAAAAATCTGACGTGCTTGCGATATGTGGCGACTGCGGTTTTAGAAACGGCGCCATAACATATATTTTTTTCGTCGAAATTAAAAATTCGACCTTTTTTGCCTGCACGATTTGAGGTGAAACCACCCATATATATATATTTTTTTTTTCCGCGCGCGAACAGTAGCGAGGGCGACAGCTCGGTTTCAATATGAGCTTGGCGCTAAAATTATAGACCCACGTTGTTTCTTTATTTTTGCGCTAAAAAGTTATTTTACGACACGCCTGTAATTAACTGCAATGCGTACTTCTGTACGACCGAGAAAACGCGGGAACTTGATTATTTGAAACCGAAACCAGACATATCAAAGCGCCGAACACGTCAGGCAACTACAGCGCACTTACCACGTGACGCCAACGGCAGATTCCCGCGCGGCTTGACCGGGCCCCCCACGAATGCCACTTCGCACTTCGCTTGCTTCGTTTTGGTTTGTTTGTGTTTGCTGTGTGTAGTTTCGGAATTCTCTGCTTGTGGCATTGGGCGCAAAGACGCTGTTTTGTATCCGATACTCGGCCCCGTCTGCAAAGGGTCACAAGTGAGTGCAGCTCACGGTGCGCATGCGATTTTATCCCTCACATTTCGAGTTTGTGAATTCTGACGTATAGAAAGCTCAATCGACGGAGCTCTTACCGCTGTTGTAGCCGTGCGCACAGAATGTTCCACTCCTTTACCTTATGTGTGGCATAAAACAGTGCCCCGTGCTTCGCATAAACGAGTCTTAAGTAGTATTTCAGTTGACTAGTTATACCTAAAGCCATCTCAAAAAGACGCATAAGAAAAAGAGCTAACCAGGAGGTCAACGCTCTGTTTGAACACTTTGCTCTGCCGGGAACGTCAAGTAACATTTTATCCCCTACAACTTCGGACTCTGGACACTTATCGTGTGAAAGTGGAGCTGGGAATTCCTCCCGTTTGCGCGTTCTGAATACAGCGAGTTCGGACAGTGCAGATGAAACCACAGAGAGCATTTGCCACTCTCGCTACGACCACGAGGAGTTTGCCGAGCTGCCTCGAGGTGCCGACTTGGAGGCGAGTATTTATTTCGTCTTCCGAAATTATCATTGAGACTGCTGTCGGCAGGGAAGGAGGAACAAGTGGAGAGGA